CCCAGCCCCCCAAAAAAATTGCCTCGAAATTTTTGAGACAGTCTTAACCCAAACCCTAAATAGTTTGCTTAGTTCTGCTTAAGTTTGTTTTGCTGAGGTCAGGTGTGGTGATAGATGCCTGTAATTCCAGCACTGGGGAGACAGGGGCAGGAGGATCATCGAGAGTTTGAGGCTAATCTGGGCTACATAGTGAGTTCAAGGCCAGCCTGAATTTCACAGTGAGACTCTGTCTCAAAAAAACAAACAAAAAACCCCACGAAAAACAAAAAACAAAAAAATAGCACCCAAGTTTATTAGCAAGCATATTCAATTTAAAGCAAAGTTTATTGAATTATGATATTTGGCTATTTTCATGGAACCCAGGGTGATAATACAACACATACTCTTTTTCCTATGAAAACTAGGAAGCTGGTTAAAGATATGACTAAGTAAATGAGCATAGAATTTGCAAGTTATGCAAATAAATAAAACAAGCTCTACACTGGCAGCAATTTTTCCCAAAGAGTATGACTAAGCTTTCTGAAGTAGGACAAACAGTGGCAAGAAAGTGTGCACTTCCTCTCAGATGATACACTAGAGACCACTGCATGATGGTAACAGAGCCAGCTTAACCTTTTCCAGAGGACAGAGAAGTACTATTTCCGCTGAAGTTTTGGACAATAGGTGCTCTCTAATGCCATTATGGATTTTAGTGTTGAAAGAGACTGAGGTCCCCGAGAATGCTCTAGGTTGGACAGTTCCACCTGGTAGTTGAATCCCTTAGGAGAAGGAGGGTGCAGTTGGGGAGCCCATCAGACTTGTATCTTTCCATATACAAATATGAATAATTCTCAGTTTGCCAAGGGAATTAAGTGAGATAATGCATATGGTTGCCCATGATAATGCATGCTCTTGACCTCTGATGAGTGTTAAACCAAATTTTGCAACCCTAAAACTTCTCCCAATTTGTGAGGTTTCCATCTACTGGGCAACAAAAAACTCATTCATTCAAATATAGGAAGGTAGGAATCTTGTTGGCTTGGAGATTTTCCTCAATCATTCTTAGAACTCATTTTCTATTTTTGGTCATTCTAAACCAACTGAAGATGGACTGGGGAATAACTAGAGCTTGGCTGCCTGACTTTCACCTACAATTCACCCTGCTCATCAGGAAAATCTAAGAGGAGAAACTTGTCAGGAGGGTATGCACTGTGCTCCAGAGCCTCAAGGTAAAGAAGTACAAGATTAGAGTTACAGGTTGCTCTTTTCATTTTTATTTAAATAAATACAATACTTGTATGTATTACATAGCCTGGCCAGATTTCATTTCAGGCTTGTGTACTCGAAATTTTAGGCATGCAGTGCTGTGGTCCACAACATGACATTTCTCTAATTTGAAACAACTGCTTCAGATGCAAAGGAAAATAGCTGGCATTTTGGTAAAACAAAACAAAATAAGAACTGGTCAAAGAGCTGTGGTACTGTGTGTGTGCGTGTGTGTGTGTGTGTGTGTGTATTGAGGCTGGTGGATATACGAACAGTTTTTGGTAAAAATCCTACATTCCTAATTGTACCTCTAGATAAAAAGCAATTGTTTCTTCTCCTTTCCCAGGCTAGGGGCTTGAAAAATGAGACATTTCAGGTGTGGGCAAATCAGTTCATTAACATTCATTGGACTTGATTTCCCAAGAAAATTCAAACAGCATGAAAAAAAATGACATTAGCCTTTCTGTTAGAATTAGTGTGAATGAGAATGACAAATATCTTTTCATGTATTTGAGTGTAATTCACAAATGCAGGAATTGGAGAAATTTCATTTTTCCTTAATTAGTCTTGCTTCCCCTGAAATTCCATCTTGAAATTAAGGAGCAGCCTCTTCAGTTTGAAATTGGTCTGATTATTACCATCTTTATTGAAAATGCTACTTTCTTTTCTCTGGTTTGGCCACTGCTACTCCCACATATTATTTAATTAAATAAAAGTTATGGCTTCAACTGCTGTTTGATAGTTTAGCCTATAAGGAACGAGTTTAGGCAGTCACCTATTCTTATCTGAGGCTAAGTTAGGGTGAATGCAACCTGGAGTATCAATTTAAAAACTAATTGTCATAGTAAAAACATCAGTCAAAAGTAGGGGCCCGAGGCCAGCGAGTCTGCGGAGTGGCAGATTTGGGAGTGTGTGGCTTGGCCAGCATGGGGGAGGGGGATCATGCTTAGACCTCACTGGCATAGACGGCGGCCCCTTCCCAACTCCCTCCAGCCTAGAGTTGTCTCTTGTGCCCAGAGAGAGCAGGGCTGGCACAGAGCTCTGCCCTAGCATGACCGTCCTTTCTGTGAAGTCACTGGGAGACAAAGGCGAATCCGTTTCCACAGTGACTTTCACATGCCTGCTTCTGATCCCTGATTCTCTCTGGCTCAGCAGCAGCTCAGGGGAGTGGGAATAAGGCCTGGTGTGTTGACAATTCTCCCTGCCTCCTGTTACAGCCCAGGCTGAAGTTGTGCAGAAGCCTGATGAAGAATGAGTCCACTTTCTACAAGTAAAAAATCCTGACCATTTCAAGGTCAGTCCATTAAAACTAAATCACTCTGAAAAGAATACACTTTGAAACTCTTTGTCACATTTATAAAAAGAAAAAAAATCCAAAAACTTTCAAAGTTTTAAAAAGTCCTCTAAAAATGTATCAACAGCCTTCTTAGTAACAAATATAAAACAGTTTAAGACACTTGGTGACTTTCTTAGGTCATGTGCCCAGGGGTGTATACACAGAGAGGTTTTACTACTAAAATGATCTATTTGGTAGAAGCTCTAGGAAGAGTTCTGTCAAGAAAATAACTGTTTTGGAAGGAAAAGCTGTTTTTTTCCCAAAATGTCAAAGAGAATAAGGATGTAAACGCCACACACTTAAAATGTTAATACAATGTTATTTCACTCAAATAAATAAAAGTGGCACCAACTTTATAGCAATTTTTTAAAGACTAAGATGTAGCTCAAGATATTTTAAAATAAATAATAGTTCCAAACAGGAATGATCATTCTCAGCATAAGCCAATGGCATCCAAAATAAAGTGCTATGAGAAAAAGCAGCTCCACAAACTTCAGTTTATCCACATGTGAGCAGAAATGGTATTTGGATCTTTAGGTCTGAAATATTCAGGGTGAGAAGAAAGTCAACTTCATAAGAGGCCAGGCATGGAGCCGTCTTTTGCCATTTTTCTCTTTTCTTCTAACGTGTGCTTAAATATTTTCTTCAGGGTGTTGTAAATGATTGGTCCATTTTCAGAATCAAAATTAACCTAGTGGCAAAGAAAACTTCTATTCAGGGCACTGTAATATGAATTTTAACCGGCTTCTATTTGGGGAGAAAGGGAGGTGGGAAAAGACAAAGATATATAAACAAAATTATGTATACTTTAAGCTGAGTGTGGTGGCACACCTGTAATTCCAGCATTTAGGAGGCTGAGGCAGGAGATCACTGTGAGTTCAAGGCCAGCCCAGGCTACATAGTGAGTTCAAGACCAGCCTGAACTACATAGCAAGACCCTGTCTCAAAAAAACAAACAAAAAAAGGTATAATTTAAAAAATACACATAATAAATTTCACACATTTTAATTGAAAGAATATATTAGAACTGCCAATCATATTAATATCAGACTTTGATTAAACATTCAAAAAATTAATCTAGTACCTGGATATTTAGCATGATTATATAGATCTAACCATGAAGAGTCAGCAGTGAATGTGAAGTGTGTCTTTAATTCAGAGACAATCACTGTTATTTAAGGACAAGTCTCCTTTATTAAAGAAAGCATGTCAGCAATAAGTACGGTGCTGAGAGGCCCCAGGCCATTCTGGACCCGTGTTGGAGTGACCCGAGTGCCGAGCTGATTCCATCTACCAGCTGTGTATCTCCATGTCATACCCCATCTCTGTGGGCCTCAATTTCCTCCTCTGTCAAGTAGAGACCACAACACCCAGTGCCTTAGGGTTTTTGTGAGAGTAAATGAAGTCTGGTATTTATGGGCATCTAACATATATTTGCACATGAAAACCTCAGTAAAAGCTAGTCTTCTTCTCCTTGCTGAAAAGGTACTGTGTACAGACAGAGTCTTTGCCCAGGCAGCCGTACTCTGGGTGAGGAGGGACAGCAGGACAGAGAAGTATAGCAAGTGCCCCATCCCCAGAGGAACATGTGACCCACTGAGAAACAACCAGGATCTATCTTGGGCTCTCGGCTTTCCTCCTAGGCGTGATCCTTCTCAGGTGAATTCTGACAAATGCAGGTTGTTTCTTCTGGCAACAACTGTAAAGGATCAGAGATTTTAGCTTGGTTGTTTGCCAGCATCATGGGTACTGGCAGAAGGTAAGAGACTCCGGAGCCAGAGTCATACAGCTTCATTTCTCCTGGTGGCATATGTCTCATTCTTGTGGGTTCTCCTGACTCCCAAGTTTCAATTCAGGGCCCAGGCAGAGGCTGCACAGCAGGGGTTTTGTGTCACAGCTAAGGAGGACCCAGTCCTTTTTTTTTGCAGTGCTGCAGAGTGAACCCTGGGTCTTGACCATGCTAGGAAAGTGCTCCGCCATTGAGCTAAACCCCAGCCCGAAAATTCTAATTTTTATAAGGGAGCTGCAAGCTAATTGGCCAACTTTTGCCCTGAAGAAAAATATTATCTTTATTACATGGGAAGGAAGAAAAATGTGCCTTCTGTTCCACAGGTAGAGCTGTCAGAGTCTTGATCATCAGGCTGCATGGATGTGAGAGCCATCGATGGCGTCCTCTGATATTTTCATACAGTTTTTTTTGGGGGGAGTGGTACAAGGAATTGAACCCAAAGCTTTGCCCACGTGAGGTAGGTGCTCTATCACTGAGCTACATCCCAGTCCATTTAAAAAATTTTCAAGACAGGATCCTGCTGAACTGCCCAGACTGGCCTCGAACCTGTGATCTACTTGTCTCAGCCTCCCAAGTAGCTGGGATTATAGGCATGCGCCACCATGACTCACTTAAATTGTTTACTTTCTTTAACATGAAACCTCAACACTCTTCACATGAGTAGGAAGGCACCCTCTCCGTCTATGAAAATGTATATACAGATGTAAAGGACCAAATGATTGGATTTAAGACTGCTGACCCTGGAAACTAGAGAAAACAGACTTTAAAGATGCAGTGTGTTAGTGCTATAAAATACAGAGGAAGAACAAGGAACCCAAATAAGGACACCACATTGGAAAGAAAGGAAGAAATGGAGATGGGATAAATATCAAAAGAGAAGACTCTTCACAATGTGTGAATGAGTATAAGTGATAACTGCTATTACCATCAATGCCTACCGCAAATGTTATTGGAAAGCTGTGTTCTTTGTTTCACAGCATATATAACAGATAACAAATTAGGTCAAGGGTTGAGGGGAACATTCCCTCTTGGCATGAACTTAGCCTCTTTCTTTAGCCAGAGTGGCTACAAGCCAAAAGGTTGTAGAAAGGAAATGTTTTGTTTACCCCATATTAGGGCTCACTAACCAGGATACAGTGCCAACTTGGCTATGTTGGTAATTAATTCTCGATAGATGGTTTCTTGTTTAAACCAAGGTAGAACTGGGTCAACAAGAAAATATACTCTGACTCCTAATAGGCACATGTTTTAAAAATACTTAACACCCAATTGTTTCTCTCTTCTTCTATATAAAAGGTCTTTGTTGCAATGTTCTCCTTCAAAGAGCCCAGACAGTTCAGCTTTTCCTAATATCACTGTTTGGAAACTTATTTTGGGGGCCCAAACTTGGCAATTACTTAAAAGAAATGCCAAACCCATCGCCACTAAGGTGAAACACAGCTGTTTCAGAGGAGGCAGGTGACCTCTAGATTCCTGATTTACAAAGACGATGCTGATTTGTGGCATGGAGAAAGGAGGGAAGAACATGACTCACCTTAGTAAAAGCTTTAATGGCATGAGCAAGGCAAGCTTCCTCCACTTCCACAGGTATTGTCTGCAGATTCACTATGCAATGCAACACGCAAAGGATAGTCTGGTGCTGTCCCTGTTTTTGTAGAAACCAAAATAAAAGTTGCCTCAAAACTACCTCAAGAAATTAACTCAAATATAGAGTAAGCAATTACTTTGTGGCCCATTACTCAATCTCTAATGCTAAAATATCTACCAAGAACTCTACCAAGTGTTTACTGTGGTAATATAATCTGAAAACCTTTTACGAGACTGTATCAAAGCTTGTTAGTGCATAAATGTCGATTGAATCTGAAGGCCAGTGTAAGTTTAAACCAAATGTTTCTCCTGCAGTACACTTAATAGATTTTTCCCCTTATGCTGTTTCTGGATATAACCATTTCAGTTTGACCAGTAGATGCTGATACACCATGGTGATCTGTGCACTACTCAGTTAGGCATCTGGCCCTCCATACCTGTGTGCCAGACTGTGGCAGATGCTATGGAAAGAGGTGGGCAGGGGAAGAGACACGCCAGCTCCCCAGTAATAGTGTGGTATTTCAGAAGGCAGCTCCTGACCTGACAGGGGAAGATCGCACAAGGATGGGTTTATTGATTTGACCGCTGGGAACTGTCCACCTCAGTAAAGGACAGACTCCATCACTTTGTGCAGTATATACCCAAGACACATATCCGGGCCATAACCCACCAAAACTCATTAATTTCACTTCTGGAAATCTACTCTAAGAGCATAATGTGAAATACAGAATAATCTACAAGCATAAATAGTCATTACAACGATACCTGTAAAAGAAAAAACCTGAAATAACACATGCCCTCTACATAGGAGTTGAAGTGATTTATGATAAACAGACAGCATGATGCGACAGAGAGTGTGTGAGCTTGTGCCAGAGAGATCTGAGTTTGAATTACTCTGACAAACGCCCCAAATTTTTGGCAAACTGCTTCACCTTGCCTTGTATGTAAAGGGGTTATCTATCTCCAAGCACTAGCAAGATGAACGGAAGTGAAAATGGAAATTACTTCCCTAAGAGCTCAGCCCACAGCTGCCTAAAAAGGACTAACTTCTTCCCTTGTCACTTCTATTTTATTTCTGTAATTTAACTGCTGAGAAAATAGTGTAAGAATGAAAGCCAGATACAGGAAAAATCTTATCTGAAGGATATGCCCTGCACAACTGTGTGTCTACGTGTGTGCATGTTCCTGTGGGTATATGTACTGTGTCTCAATGTGCATGTGAGGGCACTGTGCCTGCAGGTATATCTGGGTGCACATTGTGCTGTGTATGTGGTAACATTTTTAGTGAAGTTAGAAAATGAGATGTTTGTATTGTACCACAGTAGGTAACTCAACACTGTTTCCTAAGACAAAAACAAAGCCAATTTTGGTTGAAAATTTAGTATTAAAGGATTGATGATAAAAAGTAAAGTTTCTTCATTTCCTAGATCCACTGTTCTATAGTATCCTTGCCTCAAGTCAAGTACCATAACCAGTTTTTCTTTCTATATTCTTCTATATTTTATACATACATGTATGTATATAAACCCCACTTCAAAGGCACACAGGAATGTATGTTCCAACTACTTCATGGTTTTCATGTGCACATGCCTGTAGTAAATAAGTAAAACAGGGTTGGGATGGAGTTCATAAACCTAACTGGCATGCAAGGAGCCCTGGGTTTGATCCCCATCATGTTCCTACCCCCATTATACTCCATATTTCTGAGAAGTTTAAACTATGGAAAAACAGCATACTATTAAGCAAAAATGAAGTATAAAAACTACATATTACGATGATTTTTTACTAAGTTACAAGTATGTACTGATAATATTGAGATTTGAAAATGTTCTTCCAGGATTGTACATATTTTTCTTTTTCTTTTTGTATTTCCTAAATGTTTATGCTATGTATCAATTTCTTCTGTATCATCTTCCTTTTTTGTTTGTTTGTTTGTTTGGGAATTTTGGGGGGATACTAAGGGATCCACCCCAAGCCCCTAGGCATGTGCTCTACCACCAACCTCTGTCCCCAGGCCCTTCAAATTCTCTCCTCTCTTTTTTTTTTGCTGTACTAGGGATTGAACTCAAGAGCCTTCACACTGAGGTATATCCCCAACCCTTTATTTTGAGACAGGGTCTCACTAGGTTGCAAATCACAGGGGTTGGGCTTAGACTTGTGATCCTCCTGCCTCACTCAGCCTCCTACAGTGCTTGGACTACAGGCCTGTGCCACCACACCCAGCTTTAATTTCTTCTCTTACCTTGAAAAAACTACTAAATTAGACCTAGATAAGATTCTATATGAATTCTTTTTGTTTCGAGTGTGACACTTACATTGAGGGTCTTAAATACATTATCTGGTCCAATAGCTACTTTACCGTCTCTAGTAAGAACAGGGCTTCAGCAGCATCAGCCTGTCTGTCAACCAACATGTCCACATCCTCTTTAGTGATTACAGGTTCTTTCAGTTGCTCCACCCAAGACCACATCAAACCACACAAGATGAAAGGGTCTCTCTCACCACATATTCTTTCCCAAGCTCCATCTTGGGAATTTAGTTCTTTCTAAAAAGGAAGAGAAAGAGAGACAAGCTGGAGCAGGGAAAAGAGAGAGGTATAGGGCCTAACACTGGCTAGTCCACAGGCTGCCCATGAGAGTGGAGGCGCAGGCTCCGCGGTGACACTGGGAGCGCTCCAGCCCTTGCACTTCCTGTAGGGACACTGGCCAACTCAGGGCACTGCTGTAGGCTTCACTCTCCCTCTGAGGCTGAAACTCATGCCCTGGGTGTTGGACTGACTACTGAGGGAAGGGCTGCTGAAGCTCCCAGCCCATATGAACTTCATTCAGAAACCAGAGGCAGTTCAGTAAGAGGGAGGCTTCCTTTTCAGGTTTCTGGCAGACAAAACAGAAATACTGATTACAGCAAAGTAGAATGGTAGAGGAAAAGGTAAGAAAGGGAACATTTATAAATTAACCTGGGATCTTAGGCAAAGCTTTTGACTAAACCTTCAAAGTGCATTAAAAAAAAGTGCTTGAAAGTTGGTAAATGTATTTCTTTAAAATGCTTTTTTGGAATCCTATATAGAATATATCAAAGAACAAGCCTTGGATCCTAAAATTTGCTAGGGTGAAAATAATTAGGAAGTCTTGTTAATACTCCAAGTACCAGAGACTATTTAAGTAGGAAATTTAAAAAAACTCTACCTCCACAAGGCAGGGGTAAAATGAGATGGGAATTTTAATGAATTTCTGATGAGGATCAGAATTATGTTTCAGTATATCAGTTTTATAATAGTAATTAGGTAGCAATTGCTTCCATTCATTCATTCACCCATACAATATTTGCAGCATGTTTACAACAAAACAGAAAATATAATACATGACTTATTTCTTAACTTTCATAGTAACCCTAAGGTTCCTCACAGATAAAAGTGAGAGAGAGGAAATAACTTGCCTGGGACCCCAAAGCTAGAAAATCACAGAGGGGGCATTCCACCCAAGTTGCCTCACTCCAGCTATATCTGCCATGCCCAAGGACGCCCCCACTCCGGTGCCCTGCACTGAGTTTCTCTTTATTGTCTTATAAATAAGCCAATACTTTTAGTTGTCTGTATTCCTTCCTGTTCTATCAGGTCATGTATATAATAGGGTAGCTTCGGATTGAATTTTATATAGCTAAGAAGGGGACAAGCTGGGCAAAAACTCAAAAAGCCTCTGAGTAAAACGATTATTTAACTATAATGCCTCCTGAAGGTTTCCAGTGAGGTGAGAAGACTTACAAGGACAATGCAAAGAAAACCATGATCTGCACCCTGGCTCTGCTGTACATAAGCCATGTGACCTTCAGCAAGTCATTCAACCTCTGTGACCCTTAGTTTCTTTATGTCTAATTCTGAATTCCTAAGATGAACAAGGTACTATAAATGCTATCATCTGCCTCATGGACTAGTGTGAGAATCACACAAAGTAATGCATGTGAAAGTGCCTATTAAAGGTATAGGTGATATTATACTATTCAAATAATGTCCGTTTTACTTTTTTCCAGAATCCAATTGATTTTTTTTAAAATGGAAGACCTAAAATCCAGAAAGGAAAAAAAGGGGGTATATGTCAATTAAAGGCTTGTGCTCATATTTTAAGTAAAAGCCAAGAAATGGACCTCAAAGTCCTCCTCTCAAATGAAACTAACACCACCATGGCAGCCTGCGGTCTTTTCTGTTTGCTTTCCTGAGCTCTGACAGCGGCCCCGTTGGGCTGGAACTGGTGAGCCTGAAGGAGAGGAGGCCGAGAAGATGGACCTCACCCCACACGAGTGCCGAATCACTCTGGGGAGTCATCTTAGGTTTCTGAGTCAGTGGTTCTCAGTGCAGTTTATGGTGCCAGGCACTGGGTTAGAGAGAGAGTTCAGGCGGGTTCCTAATGCCATCTTCTGTGGGTTTGTTGCACCCACAAACCCAGCTAGCAAGAAAAAGCTACCAACAACAGACCAACTATAGTGGCAAGTGCTTTCTCATACATGGAGATTTAAACAGAACAACACAACTATGCTGTGTCATTTCTATAACATCACATTCATATCATCGCTGTGAAACCTTGAATTCAAAAGGTGAGTGTGATATAAATATATCTTCACATTACCATAACAAACAAATTTGGAAAAATGTATTTTTGCTCTGACATAACTGTTTCCTGCTTATATATAATCAAATGAAATTAAAATACCTGCCACATTTCTACCTTCTTTTTCACCTCCTCCTTTTCTGCAAACTCATTTAAGTTTGCCAGGGCTCTGGCTGCCAGTATTCTCCTTGCTTCCACACTTAGTTCAGACTGCAAATTGGTGTGTGGCACTGCTTCAGACAGATCTTTGCTGTCCTGGGTTTTAGGTCCAATCAGCACCTGTACCTTGGGACTGGAGCCACAGTCCAGAGGTCTGCAGTGAATCCTGCCCTCCACCTTGACAGAGCCTGGGCTCCAGCCACCATGAGGGTCATACTGACAGTGGGCCAATTGCTGGTGAGAGGGATTTGGGTTCTTGGAGATATTTGTAAAGGTGGGTGAAACCGGTTCTCCAGGGTGTGAACCCGAAACACCCACGGAGAAGGTTCGACTGCGTTGTATTTCCTTTTGAATGTCTCTCCTTTGGCAAAGGGGTGATTCATCTTCTTTGTGTCCTTCCAGGTAGCCACATTTAGATTGGTTCCAGAAGGAAAATGTACTGTGAACCAATGTTTCCTTACTGAGATTCAGCTCTGGAGACAGTGGAGTGTAACAGTGGCTGCTGGGCTTCTGATGCTGGAGGTTGTGACCTAGTAAGTCCCGGGCAGGCACTGTCCATGGAGTTTCACCTTGCTCGAGGAGAGCCTCTGCCCTCTTCAGGTCTGAGTCACTGTAGCTGAGCCGTCTTTTCAGCCGAGTCAGGGGCTGAAGGTACTCAACATTCCGCCTCTTCCAAAGAGGATCAAACTCTTGCTCATTGGAAAGAATCACTTCTTGATTCTCAAGCTCTGTTGCCACTCCAGTAGAGTTAAATGAATCAGCTATGACACTGTGGTGCCTCAGTAACTCTTTATCTAGGCGCACTGTGACCATCTCAGAAACAGTCTTTTCTATTTCAGCAGAGAGTTCAGACCCTTTCAATCCATCCTTCATCAGCACCGGCCTGTTCTCAGCCAAGTCCAGTAGCAATTTGCAAATTAGGTGGATGATTTTTGGCACATGTTTCAGAAGTCGTGCCTCATAACCGTGAAGCAGATGACGCTGGCGAATTAAGTACTGGGCTAAGGTGACAGCATGTGCTTTGGGATCACAGCAAGAGAAGATATTGCGGAGAGGAGTTAGAAACTGAGTAAATTCCCGTACACAGAGCAGCTGTCCTCTGGTTTGTATGGAATTGGGTCGCTTTGCCCGCACAAATATAATTGCTTGATCAGCAGTCATTCTTGTTGCAAACACTAAATAACATGCTATTAGAACACCTAAACATAGAGGAAGGGAAGACAGATAAGAGAAAAGCTTAGGGTTTTATTTATTTATCCTTCTTTGATGAATTCAAACTTGAATACCTGTTAAGAAACCATATAAATACAGACATATGAGAAGGACAATTGTGATACTTTAAAACTTTTTGTACAGGTGTTTATTATTGCATCCCCTTTTATATAGATTTTATTTGTGCCTGTGGGGGGCAGTCCTTCACCATGACTGAGTCAGCGCTGTATCCTGGAGATGGGCTAGCACAAAATTGGCAGGTGAGGATGTGTAGAATAGGGGAAGCATGACAGAGTGAATTGAAGATCTGATCCATTATGGTCAACTAATATTAAAGTAAAAGGCAAGTGATTCACAAGCCTATGAATATTTTGTTACATGTGAAAACCAGAACCTTTGAAAACTGTATGCTCTCCAGTTTGTAGTAGGGTACAACCTATTGTTCCCACTGGGCCATGAAAGATCTTTACTGCAATATCCAGAGAATTATCACATCCAGTGTCCAGAAAGAATGACATTTCTCCTTGGGATGTTCCACAGCAGGTGGGAAGTCCCTGGCAGGCACACAGGTATACAGTGGATGTAGCAGGGCTGCTGGTGATTTGGTCACACTGAACCACAGGACAATGAAGATATCAACCTTACGACCTTTATATTTTTGCTCTCAGATAAGCAGTGTAATGAAATTTTACTGAATTTTTAAGTAAATTCACTACTTCTTATATGGAATTATGTGCACAGAGAACTTTTCCTCCACAAACACAATCCTTATACCTTGAAAAGTAGAAAGCACATGTCCTGTGAAATCACACAGTCATGGATGTAAATCTTGGCCCTAGCACTTATAATGCATCAAATTACTTTTCTGAAACTGAAGTTTCTTCCACTCACATTACTGCTAAAGATTTTTTTAAAATAGCGAATGTAAAATGCTTAAAAACAGAAGGTGAAAATAATACTTGTTATTTTCATTATTACTTTGGCTAAAAATTACATTAAAAAATACATTATGTATTAAAATGAGGGGTTTTTTTCCCCTTTAAGTGAAAAAGAACAGTGGTCATTTAAGTGGTTTTAAAATCTGTTTAAATATGATGAGTTTTCATGCCTAAGTTATTAAAAGATACTCTCATTAATATCAGCATATGATCTTTTATTTATGACTTGCATTTGACTCCAAATATTTCTCTTTAGAATTAGGGAATCTTACTCCTTTTATGTTTAAGTATGCTTACAAGAGAATAAAACCACTTCCTAGAATTTACCTGTTCGGCCAAGCCCTGCATGACAATGGATGGCTACTTTTCCTTCTTGTAATGCAAATGTCATTACTTTCACCATATCTAAGATGGCAGTGAGAGAGGCAACACCATAATCCTTCCAGCCGAAGTTATAGAAATAAACTAGGCAATAAAAAACAGAAAGGAAATGAAATTAATGTACAGAAATAGATATTTGAAAAGACATTTGAAGAAAATGAGTGAATTCATGAAAAGCATAAAGACACAAGGCATGCAGATTTCACAGACTTAAAATTTTACATTTCCAGTATGATTAACTTAACATTTATCACAAAGCACATTCTATATTAAAACATTTCCAGATGAAACTCAGCAAGGAAGAATTAGAATTAGAAAAGTAGAAGTAGAAAAGAATAAAAGTAGAATTACAAATTAATAAAGCCAACAATCTACTTTAAAGTACTAAAGTTATTCAGATACGGTGATAAAGCATATACACCTTTTTTTTTTAGACAAGATCTCACTAAGTTGCCCAAGGCCTCAAACTCTTGATCCTCCTAGTTCAGCCTTCCAAATGCTGGAATTACAGGCATGTGCACCCATGCTTGGCAAGCTTATACTCTTATTGACGCATAGAAACACATCTAAAACTGATGAACTGTGAAAAATACTAACTATATACAGATTTTCGACCTAGGGGAAAACTAAAAAGCTAGACATAAGCTTCTTAAAAACAAGTTCCAAGATTGGATGTTTATCCTGTTCAGCTTGGTATGAACAACATGTGCCAAATGGATTCCATCCCAAAGCTCCTGTTACTGAGAAGCCTTTGGGATTGCCGCAAGAAGAATTCCCAGCATCCTGCTGGAGATGGGGGTGGCTGCAGCCAAAGCATGAGTGTATCCATCTTCCAGCCCTGGCTGCCACTTTGAAGCTGTGCGATCCTGAGCAAACCAGTAATTCTCTAAGCCTCTGTGGCTTCATGTGTACAATAGATATAAAACAACTGTGTCACAAATTGCTGTAAGAGTGACTGAGATAACAGTGTTGGACACACCGCAGGCATCACCTGAATGGGAGCCTTATACAGTAGGGTCTCCTCAAACCTGTATTTGCAACATCAATACCAAGGAAGAATGTTAGCAACATTTAAGATCAAAGTCATCCCATCTTCATTTTCTATGAACCCTGCTACTATGCAGTTGGTTTTTATTTTTATCATCTTTTTAACCTAACAGTTTAAAAGAAAAATCTTTGAGCACTGTTTTTGATAATTTCCAGTGAGGGGGAGTGGGAGAGAACTTACTGCCAGCCTCCATGAATGCTTCAGGAAGGTAGGTGAAGCCACTTTCTTGTTCCAGGGAGTTCCCACAGCTAGCATGTTCACCAGGCCGCTGCAGGTTGATGATTGTTTTTATGCCATGACTTAAAGGAGAAAAGAGCAATTAGTCATATCAGAAGATGGAGTTAAAAAAAACTTTTGACATTAATAAACATCATTAACTGCTCTCAAAACTTTAAGCTCTTCACTAGTTTAAAAATTAAAGTACATTTTCCATGTAGGAGGCACAAGCAATGAAAGAAAAACACAAAACAGTTTTCTCCCCACAGTGTGTGAGCCACCCATCTACCTGAGGAACTGCTCAATGATGCAGTACTTTTGGAGAAGTTCCGAGGACGGGCGAGCCATGGCCAGGATATTGTCAGTGATCCTGCAGATAGGGGAGGAACTGGTGAGAAGCACAGAAACCAGATCATTGTATCTCAAAGGACTGAAGGATGATTTTCTTTTCTATGACTTCAACAAACCTATAACAATATTCTTAACACAAATCTGGCTTCGATTTTGTATCATGATTAGAGCTTTAAGAAATCTAGCTTCTTAAATTCTGAAAAAAAATCCAGGACACAATGTATTTATGAACTCTACAAAATGTCTACAAAAACTCTCAAGAGATTCTAGCAGACACAATGGAGAAACCTCAGCTAGTAGCAAAGTCAACTACAGTATTAGTTATCCAGTAGTTAGTGACTAAATGAGAAGGGCCAACTTAGAGGCACTCTGGTTACTCAATTGAGGTCACCAGAGGCATTAAATGGGGATAATAATGCCTGACTCAGAGTTGGTGTGAGAATTCTGTATGATTTGGATATAAAATTTAGCACAAATCCCATCTTGCGTTTAAGAATAAGTACTGAATTATTATAATTAGCAAAAAATATGGCTCTCGAGTCAGTCAGACATGGCTTCAAATGTTGGCTTTTCTACTTTCTAGCTGTGAAGCAAACTAATTAATCTCTCTGGAACATCAATAAAGTGGCATTAACAACTCAAGGGTTTTATGAAGATGAGTGATAATTTGAAAGCATCTAGAAAAATGCCTGCCCTATAGACAAATAGATGTTTATGAACAAATGATACAGGCCCCATAAAGTGCTGTCACTCCTCAGGCCTCTGGCTTTACTCTGTTCTGCCCCAACTTCTCACCAGTGGCCAAGTAGTCTATTGAAAGCTGTGGATCACATGAATCTCACAGGAGTAAGACATTAGATTAGCAGGGCTGGATCAAAAGACACCTCCCCCTCTGTAACAATGTATAAAATTTAACATGGGCCCAAAAGCTCTGGGATCCTCCAAATTTACCAGTACTTAGCATAAGATGAGGGGAGATGTGATGTGAAAATGCCAGAGATGAAAAGAAGTACATGATTTAGTCAACAACAAAGCAAAACTATTAGTATAATCTTAAGCTACATTATTACAAATTTCCTCGACTGACTATGCCACAGAAACATTCGCTTCTTCATACCATTACAGTGACAGCGATAGGTCTGAACATGAACTGTGGAGAACAAAAAAGAGACAGTGTACCACAAAGTATGTTACTACAGACATACCCAGCAAATCCAATATGAAAAAGTACAGGTCACAAGTCAGATAAGTAGATTGAACAGTATCTAATTTAAAAGTGGGTTCTTGCTATATAAAGTAATTCATGACTAGAATTCTATAAACAGTGAATTCCTCTAAGTGTGTTTCGAATGTGATTTGATTATCAGAATTTTTCAGATGTCACACATCAAAAATAGTTTATTGTTACTAATGAAAGGCAATATGATTCAAGAACAATTTTAATTGCACTTACACACCAGAAACAATGCAAGCATCTTAGGTTGTCTACTGAGCTGACAACCTGTGCCACTTCTATCAAGGCAGACTGAAGTGTATTTATATGAAAATATATCCTTTTGCACAGAATATAAGAACAACATAACAGCAAGGTTAAAGGTTACCTGTAAGAAATTGAAGAACTATATACATACCTCATAATTTCCTCAGTTATAGCTGAGCATCTTCATTATTTCTAGCAATTTCTCAAATTTAAGAACTACTTAATTACCCGTTTCTCTTAAAAGCAAACCTCTGTTTTTTGGCTTAATTATTTCCATTTTATAGATGAGAGACTGAGGTTGAGTAGGTCAGAATCCCACAGATGGTTTAGGCAAAGCCAGTGGCGATGGTGAGGTCCCCTGACTTCAAACCCCACAAGACCCCTTCCACATCCCCTGTCTTCCAGCTTACATGAATCCCATGCATCCTCCTTCCTTTATACTGCAGAGCTGGGGAAGACCAACAGGACCTCTTACCAAGATGAGTAAACCCCTTTAATGGCTTGCTCCTGCTCACTCCAGCGGGTTGGGTTCTCGTACTTGCATGCTCTACCACCACATGCCATGGAACATGCCATATGTCCAGGGATGACATGCCGTAAACGTTCTCCCACTTTTGTGTACTTTGGTGTTGGGTGTCTAGAATTTCCTGGAATACAGAGGAAAGGAAGAGTCAAAATCCAACTCTCCAAATAGAATAGTTGCAGGAGAAATAGCTTCCATTTTATCTTGAGATTGTAAGACAAGCCAGTGCTAAATGCCCTTCACCTAATATTTAAAAAGCTTTCACACACAATGATCTCCACACATTATATTGGTAATGAAGAGGAAGAAATTATAAAAGCCAATCTTTTGCAGGAGGACAAGTTTTGTTCCAAAACTACATTTTAAAATGAAAGACACAACAAAATATCCAATTATTTTTTTATCTCCCTTTACATATCTATTCAAATTCTAAGCATGATGGTAAAAAGTGTAATGCAGAATTGTCAATAACAACACAGCCTATTCATATTCCTTAAATCTAGTTACAAAGATGTGGCAATCTATAATAAGAAAGATGGCTTTACTTTTTCTCTCCGGAAAAGTTGGGTTCCCCTCTGGTTGGCTGACAGAGGACACCGCCACCATCACCTGAAGAGAGGATGAGGACAGTAGCTTTGTGGCAGAGCCCGAGCCACGCCGAGCCTGCTGCAGCCTCACAACGGGGTCCGAAGTGGAATGCCGGCGACCCTGTAGAAAGGAGCTGAGGAAATGCATGGCCGAGGGTCTCCGGGACACATCCTGCACCTGCATGGCGCTGGCTCCAGGGAGGCAAGCTGGAGGCAGGGAGAAGTCAGCCCTGGCTTGCTCAGTGAGCAAGTACACTGAGACACAAGCATCATTCTGCATGATCTAAGAGCTATTCAAGATAGGCTGACTCGTTTCCATAGTGACCAACAAAGAAACTACTGATTCCCACTTAGATCTGAACAGCAAAAATCCTACATGAATGGATTGTGTTTTGGACAAATTGTTCAACAATAAGGAGGAAAAATATGCCTTTTAAAGAGATTCTTCCTAAACCTAGATTACTTCATTTTGTTTCTCAAATATGCTGAAAGATCTGGTTACTCAAAGAATTACTTTCAAAGAATTGTAATAAATTTAGAAAAATGTCTTTATGATACAACCACTGCCCTTTACACATATTAAGATGGTTAAAATTTGTTACTCCTTTCTTTGGATTTTTTTGTGTGGGGGGAGCTCTTTCTACTCTTCTTTTAAACAGGGTAAAGTTAATTGTAATAATGGGGGATATGTTGGATACCTTACAACACTATTATTAAAATATCATTCAATTTTTCAGAACCAAACACCCCTCATATTTTCCTAGAATTACTGAAGAAACACTTGGATAGAATACAGACATTTTTAGAGCAGATATATTATCAGAAAACACTTAAATTCATATTTTTATTTTCAGATTATGAAAACTCAATTCTTGGTAATGGCTCTGTTGGATAATTACTGTTACTTATGAGTAACTGAGCAGTCATCCCTCTCAGGAGCTCAATTCTCTCCCTTTTGTTGCTATAGGAGAGAAATACTTCAATTTCTTGGTGGAGGCATATGAAGAAAATTCACTACAGTTTCACATTTTTTAAGGAGCTGGATGAGGGGGAGGTAGCACTTTGAGGATAAAGGATATAAAGAAAAAAGAAACATAAACAACCGCCAAAGTGCTCATTGTCCGCCTCCTCCTGTGTTAATGTCAAGCTGCGCCCGCGCTCAAACTCTTTCTCTTGTGCTCTCTGCACAAATGGTATTCCAGTTGTGCAGAAAGGAAACAAAACTCCTGTCATAGATAAGGCTCTTTTTTGCTTTAACAATTACTAACGCTACAAGTAAGCTCCTTTTAAAATGCCACCCCCATTTCCTCAACAATATGTACTTTTATCAAATAAGACACAGAAGCCCAGTGTGGTATCCAAATTCCTATGCCATGTGTAGTATCATGTTCTTGCTCTTTAGCATAAACAACGGACACCCCCCGCCATGGAAAATAATTCACACAGAAGTCTGTATGATAGGAAGGCACAGAAGACATAGGTGAGTAAAGAAGGTGGCATGTATAGCAGAAGGCCCTAGATGGTCCTCAGGAGTTGTGTGTGTGCTGCCTGGGACAGAGGGAGTCTGTGCAGGTTTCTGGGTAAGTCCCTGTGCTTCTAAGTGGGCAGCACTTGGAGCCCTGGAGTAACAAGGATAACCTGACAAAGACAGAGGTGCTAGGGATGCAGGATACTTTTGGTGATGCTGGAACTCCAGCTCAAGTGATTGGTTCACACAGGACCCAAGCAAAGAAGGTGGGAACAAGCAGCAAGCTCCACTGGAAACCAAAATGGTTGAGGCAGTGAGAACTGGCATTAAAGAATGTCTGCAGAGGAAGATCACAGGGATTTTGTTCCCTACTGTATTAAAAATAAAAATGATTTGGTGAGGGGTAGGACTTACTTGGATTAAGGTAAAGAAGGGATGGTGAGATATATCATTACAAGAATAATTTCTCCTGCGAAATCTTGGGGATTGAGCTGATTAAAGTTACTATACAGTCAGTGACCCTGTGTTGGGGCCTGATGAAGTTCAACTTGATACAAACAGGAGTCACCCAGGCAAAAGCAGCCCCACAGCATGCCTGTTCAGTGTGCTGACAGTGAGGTACTAGGCATGCACCCTGCATTCATCTGGCAGATGAAATGGAACTCTGTCCACTTTCAGGCATGAGAGATGGCCACATAGCCTTCTTTTCCTCTGTTGTCTGAAGGGCTGCTCCAAAACAATTCCTTGGTTAATTACTTAATTCATGGCACAACCCATTTTTTAAAAAAAATAGCTTTACTTATGCCTCAGAAAGCTTTAAAAAGGTGGAGGCCTGCCTTCACTATCTGCCCTATATATTAGCCTGGTTCCCCTTCCCCAAATTGCTCGTGTACTTATGGCTTTTCTTCATATTTACAACCATATTGTATATACATTTTTCTTATTTTCTTTTTCAATCAGTACAAGAATGCTTTCCATTTTGTTTTTGTCTTCTCATAATTTTTATTAAATGGAAACATAATGACCAGGATACATTAAGATGATGCATCACAGTTTACATAATTATTCCTTATTTGCTGGACATTGAAGCTATTATCAATAATTTTTATTTAAAAATAAGATATTCAACTCTTCAAAGCTAGAACATCTTTATTTCTATGTTCTTCCTTCAGTAAATTTCTGAGGATTGTATGACTAGTGAGCAAAATTAATTTTCAAAACCTCTATTTTTACTTGGTTGAGTCTTTATGTTTTAAAAACCAAGTATGAAGATGGCCCGGGAATTTAGCTCAGTGGTGCCACCACCTGCCCTGCAAGCACAAGGACCCAAGTTCAATCCCCGGTATCAAAAAAACCCTCCAAAAAACCAAAACTAAGTATGAAGAATGAGAAAGAAGGGACATTTCTTTTTAGCAATTCAATATAGGATTTTTTCCCCCATTTTCTGCATGAGAATAAGGATAAGGGAACACTACTATTTCTGAAGTTTTTGTACTAACCTCCTTTGCCCACAGAAATCTCATCATCTCTACCACTTCCTGCATTCTATGCATATTTTTATTCATAGCATACTGCCAAAAAACAATCATGCAAACAACTTTAAAGGCATTCTTAGAATAAAAGATTCTGTAAGTTGTACCCAAATGGTCTTTTATATTCTCTTCAAAATATTTTTTAATTTTGTGGGTCATATTAGTTTTATGCATCTGTAAGAAAGTGTAAATAGGAAGAAATTGTTCAAAAGGAAAGGGAAACTAGGAAGGGGGGAAGGGGAAAAGGAAGAGAAAAGAAGAAAAGAAAGATAAAATGGAAATAATGCTTTGTAAATGAGGGGAAGAGTGGTTGAAGGGAGGGGAGGGGAATAGGAAAAAAGAAGAAAGATATATCGGGCTGGGGATTTATCTCAGTGGTTTCATCGCCTGGCGCAAGGACCCGAGTTCAATCCCCGGTACCAAAAAAACAAAACAAAACAAAAGAAGATATATCATGTACAGGTATAAATTCCCTATGCTGAATGTGATCATTATGTACATCTAAATTGTGCCAATAAAATTAATTTAAAAATCTATTAAAAATTTAAATTGGGATGAACTACCAATTGCTAATGATAAACTATACAGACACATATAGCATCTTGTTACTGGAAACTGTCAGTAGAAAAAATAGAAGACCTATATTTTTATTTTTTTATTTTTGGTACCAGGGATTGAACTCAGGTCCTTGTGCTTGCACAGCAGGTGGCTAAACCACTGAGCTAAATCCCCAGCCCAGAAGACCTGTATTTTAGATATACACAAACAAGTCTATTTGAACTTCCACTTCATGTTTTATATAACATGGAAATATTTTAGTGTGAGAGTAACTTTATGAAGAGCCATGCTAGTCACAGATATCAGGTAAAGAACTTTTTGTTCTTGTTTTGTTTTATATTTTTAAATTTGGTTTTGTTTTGTTGTGAGCAGATTTTAATTTTCTTTCCTTTTTCTTTTTTGGTAAAGAGGTTTCTTATAGAGGCCACAGAAAGTCTTTTAGAATGTTACTACCATAAACCCTACTCATCTCCTTTTTCCTCTACAGTTAAAATTTATTTGCACGTCACAAAAACCAACACTACTGTTGTTTTCTCGCTTACCTATTAACAACTAATCTATTTTTTCCCTCTTCTGACAATGTTTTTCTAAATAAGTACTTAAGAAAAAAATGTTCTTTTTTCTTCATTTCATGACCATAAAATCAGAGGGGACTGTGTCTCAGTTCCTGTCTCAATTCTTGTCCCCACTTCTCAATATGAGGAGCCCCCCCCGCCGAGAGAGGGAAATACTACAAAAGGAAATCTACATGATTAGTCCTGTATTCCCTGGGCTACTGAAACTGCCGTTGTATAAGAAGCGTGAAGATGATGGGTGCTATGCTAGACCAAACCACCCTTGTGGCCATGGCCTATCTGTAGTCAGCAATCGGATACAACAATTTTAGAATACTATTTAAGGAAACAAATGAGATTATCAGTCAATGCAAAATCAAAATTATCCAAACTTGTGATAACCACAAAAACAGTGCCTACTAAATGGTCCAATCAATGAGTATTCAGCCTTTTCTTCTTTAATGTCTAAAAGTGGGAAGTGCAAACTGAATATCCTTAGTGGATCTGAAATGCCAAGCACTGGCAATTTCCTGCCACTCTCAACATTTCAGTAAGGGTTATTCCTTTCTATGCAAGCAAATTCACACACCTATTGGGGCAACTGGAGAGAGGGATGAAGATCCATCTACTTACAGTCTTAGGTTTAGTTTCTCTCTGTGATGCTGACTTTTCAGCCTTGTCTTCCCTTTTATGACACTTCTAACAAGGGAACTGTTAACAGCTCAAAGTGTTTTCTAAAGTTGAGTCAAAATCCATCACTCTATAAACTGGTTCTAGTTCTTCCTTAAACAAAAAGCAAAAGTATTTCTTTGACTTGCAGGGTTGTCAGATAACTGAAAAAAACTTCTCCAAGACTTTTCCTATTTGGACTAAATCTTCTCTGTTTTTCAAATGTTCCCATTATATATCATTGTTTCTAGATCTCTCACTATAATTCCTCTTCTTCTGAGGGCCCTCATTATCTCCCTTTAAAAAGAGGCCGAGTGCAGGAACCATCTCTGTTACCTGCCCCATCCTTACCCTGTTTGGGTCCGGCCTTTGCCTTCAGTGTCCACTGAAACTGCTGCTGCTCAGGTCTCCGATACTCTGTTTCAAGGTGGACTCTTTACATAGTTCTCATCTTACTTGACTGCTTGGCAGTACACAACATAGTGGGACACTTTAGTTTTAATTTCTGACTATTGTGAGGGGACTGAATGTGTTTTTACTTTGAATCAATTTCAAATTTAGAGAAAAATTACAAATACAATGCAACGATTATTTTTTTTTCTTGAACTATTTAAGTTGCAGACATGCTGCCCCATTACTCCAAATAATTTAGTGTGCATTTTCCACAAAGATACTCGCCATAATTCTTCCAAATCAGAGAATTATGATTGAGACATTACTACCTGTTTTCTA